CTGCAGAGTACCATCCTGTACCAAAGACCCTAGCACATATTGGGAAAGGCTCTATGTAGGCATGATATCAACCTCTCCATGTTCATTGAGTTCTATAAGTCTTGTTTTCAGCAATGGGCCTTGCTGACAATTTGTGGAGAACAACCTATTGTCTTAGCAACAGTGAGTTGTTTTGGGATTTCCATGGACCCCCTTTGGCCAATGACTCAATTAGATATAACCAAATCCCAGCACTGGTGACAAGAGATGGCCAGTCCCCCTATTATTTGATGATTTCATTTAGATGGCTTCACATATGAACATATTTTCTGAAGCTTCTACTGTACTAGGTTTTCATACCGCCCCTCAAATGCCACTTGATTTCAACCATCTCTACCCCATTTCTTCCTTTGTGCCCCTTTCCTTCCCAGATTCACTTCATGTATCCAAAAATATCTACTATGTTTCTGTTTCTAGGTTTCTGTTTCATTGGTTCCCTCCATGTCTGGTTTCCTGTAGCTCATCTTTGTGGCTCTATGGTCTGTAGCTTGTTTATCACTGACTTAACAGCTAATATCCACATAGAAGCAAATGCACACCATGTTTGTCTTTTTGAGTCTGGGATACATCACTCAGGATGATTTTTTTTTCTAGTTCTTTCAGTTTACCTTCAAATTTCATGATGCCATTTTTTGAAAAACTGCTGAGTAATACTCCATTGTGTAAAGGTATCTATTCTTTTGGTGAAGGTTGTTTCCAGTTGCTATTATTAATAAAGCAGCAAAGAACATGGTTAACCAAGTGTCCTTGTGGTAGAATGAAGCATCCTTTGGTTATATACCCAAGAGTGGTATAGCTGGGTCTTGAGGTAGACTGATTCCCAATTTTATGAGGAACTGCCATGTTGATATCTATAGAGGCTGTACAAGTTTGCACTCCCACCAGCAATGGAGGAATGTTCTCCTTGTTTCACATCCTCACCAGCATGAGCTGTCACTTGTGTTTTTGATCTTAGCCACCCTGACAGAGGTAAGATGAAATCTCAAAGTAGTTTTGATTTGCATTTCCCTGACGGCTAAAGATGTTTGAACATTTCTTTAAGTGCTTTCCAGCCATTAGAGACTCCTCTGTTGAAATTCTCCATTTAAGTTTGTACCCACCTTAAAATTGGATTATTTGCTTTTTTGATATCCAGCTTTTTCCTCGTTTTATATTTTGGCCATTATTGGCTCTCTATTGGCTGTGTGGTTGGTAAAGATCTTTTTCCATTCCATAGGCTGCCATTTTGTTCAAATGATGGTGTGTTGGTATAATGTTCTTTTGAAATGTATACACCTTACCCTTGTTCATTCAAATGCTGATTTCTTCCCCACCCCCTCTCTGATTTCAATCCGATATTGCATTGTGATACTTATTCTAAGCATCCTGTCTCAACTTTGTGTAAACAGGCCAAAATAAAGCAACTAGACACAATGTTGAGCTAGGAGGAGCCAGAGGAAAGGAAAGAAGGGAGGAGCCAGAGGGCAGGAAAATGAGTGGGAGGAGAAAGGGCGAGGTAGAGCAAGGAGGGCAGAGGGAGGAGGGCAGAGCAAGGAGAGCGGAGCTGGGAGGAGATCTTGGAACTATGTGGAGAATGAACCAGACCTAAGATTTCACAAAAAGCAAGTATAATGGGTAAAATCTAAATATTAGAAAACTATGAGGGCTTGGAGGTTTAAGAGGGAGTGACTATTGCCCAGCATTGTGTTCTAGGTTATCTAAATAAACCCAGTCTCTGTGTAGTGATTTGGGTATACAGCTGTTTAGGATTAACAGCAGCGTTAATAAAAGATAAACCAATAGTTAATATTAATCGCAACTTACAACAATCGTGTCCTTTGCTGTGCAGAAGTTTTGCAGTCTCATGAGGTCCCGTTTATTAGTGCTAACCTCAGCTAATTTTTAAAATTTCGTTTTTGAGGCAGGGTCTCACTTTGTAGACCAGGCTGGCCTCAAACTCACAGGATCTGCCTCCCTCTGCCTCTGGAGTGCTGAGATTAAAGGCATGTGCCACCACACTGGGCCTTGGGTTTCCCAGGGCAGCAGAAGTCCGTCATCCCCTCAAATGTGCAAGCAAGCGTGGCCATAGTAACCTTGGGCCTCTTTCTTCAGTGGGCTCAGGGACAAGGAGCTGCACCCATTTGCCCATTTGCGCACAATTCCCAGACTCAACGGCAGAGGGCGCCGCCGCCCTGCCCGAGCCGGGCCACCCAGGTTCCTGCTCAGCCGCTTGACTGCATGGATCCCTCTCCCGTAAGGCTGGGATGTATTAGGCTTGCAGGAGAAGGCCTCAGGCCTCAGTAGGTAAGCCACGGTGAGAACCACAGGATGACTCTCCACATGCTGCTCAGTTGCTATTTCACAGGGCAGCAGAGGCAGGAGGATGAGTTCAAGTCCAGCCCAGCTATACGACCCCTTCTCAAGGATATTAACAACAACAAAAATGTTCATTCGCCTTTAACTCCAGCGTTCAGGAGGCAGAAGTAGGTGGATCTCAGAGTTTGCACCCAGCCTGGCCTTCAGAGCGAGTTTCAGGACATCCTAGGAAACCCTGTAACAAAAAATAATAAAGGCCTGTGCCACCACTGTCTAGCACCTCTTTTCCTTTAATTAGTATTGTTACATACAAATGTGTGTGAACACAGCACATGTATAAATGCAGCCTGCTGAGCCCATTTTTTGTTAGTTAGTTTGCTGGTATGTATCTGGTTTCTGAGCTGACCACACTATACTGGACAACCAATGAGGGTCCTCATCTCTGGGAGAGCTAATTCTCCCTCTCCCAGCTGTCCTTAGTTTCCTATACTTCTTTGGCTGAGGGTGGGACTCCATGAAATTTTCTCTCCCTTCCAGATTAACATGTCCATTGGCACTGCTACTGTCCCTGTCTTGTTCATGAAGCCGTTTCTAGGGAGCCTGTTTCACAGCAGACTTCCTGGTATTCTGGCTCTTAAATCTTCCTGTCCATCCCCTCTACACCGATGCTCCTGGGCCACAGATGTGGGATGTGCCTGTATCCACTGGGGCTTGGCCCCTATCATCTGCTGATCTGCACTGTGCAGTGTGGCTTGCTGTGATGGGCTCCATTTGCCATAAAGAGGCTTCAGTGAGGAGGGGTGGGAGCTGTGCTCATCTGTGGGTCTAAGGATAAGGTGTAGAATACAGTAATAAATTACACTGTTCTAGCAATGTGGCAGTGGTAGGTTTTTTCTAAGGTCCCTGACCTCACTACCTCTGAGAAGCTGGCTAGGTTTTCAGTATCAGGCACGATTTTCCTCCTAAAGAGTGGGCCTTAAATCCAATTAGATAGCTGTATTTCCATAGTTGGCAATTGCTGTGGAAGAGCCCAGCTCACTATGGGTGGTGCCACCTTGGGCAGCTGGTCTTGGGATGTCAAAAGAAGTAGGCTGAGCAAGCCATGGGGAGCAAGCCAGTAAGCAGCACCCCTCTGTGACCTCTGCTTCAGATATATGTATATTTTTCCTGAGACAGGGTTTCTCTGTGTAGCCTTGGCTGTCCTAGACTCTCTTTGTAGACCAGCTTGGCCTCAAACCCACAGATATCCACCTGCCTCTGCCTTTCTGAGTGCTAGGATCACATGCTTGAGCCACCAGGTCTGGCCTCTGCTTCAGGTCTTGTCTTGTATTGTCTCAGTAATAAACTGTGACTTGGAAGTATAAGCTAAAATAAACCCTTTCCTCCCCAAGTTGCTTTTAGTCATGATGTTTCATCACAGCAGTAGAAACCTGACTATTCCATGCCCTGCAGTGCTCAGCAAAGACTATTTTAGTCCCAAATGTCACCCTTCCCCCATTGGGAATGCATACTAAGACCTGATGACTTGAGTTTGAGACCTTCAGGACCCACGTTGCCCAGGTTCCTGCAGTGTCCAAGGAGCAGAAGGTGGTGATGAACTTCCTGAGGGTGGAGGTACTGGTGACTGTGAGCCACAACCAGTGTGGGCACTGGTACTGAACTCAGGTCCTCAGGAAGAGCAACAATTGCTCTTAACCTCTGACCCTCTCTCCGGCCCCTGGGGTGCATTTCCCTCAGCTCTGTGATGGGATTTTAGCCTCTTCTCATAGCCTCTCCTCATGGTACCAGATTGGAACCAGCTAGTATCCTGTAATCCCCCTCCCCCACAGACAGTGTTATGCTCAGATCACGAGATGCCCAAGATACCACCAGGAACATGAGTCCGATGCAAACACAAGACAGTTCTTTTATTACAAGCTTGAGCCCGGGTCACAATCCTTCCCGACACAGCAGGTTGGGAAAGCGACCCCGCGGTCTGGGGAAACAGGGTTTTTAAAGGGAAAAACCACAAGCAGGGACTTCCAAGCCTTGGCATTACATGATTGGGCAAGGGGCAAAGGAATGTAGTGCACTGTAAACAAATTGGTTGATTGATTCTGGTCAAACCACAGAGAACAACAGTTAGTCCAAAAGGTATCTTGATCTGGAAGCAACTCTCTTTATTTTATTCTATTTTTTTATTTTTACTATCCTAGTCATTATCAGTAAGCCTGTGTCTATGTCTGGCTGCAAGCTGCTAGGGACATTCTGGGGCTTTTCCTGGAACTCAAGGGTGGGGGGCCAAGTCACGTGAGGATAGTCAACTTAAGATGGAGTCTAAGAAACAAAATGAGGTTAGCCCTGTTACTTTTAACCTCTTCAATGGCACACTGTGAGCTGTGAAGCCTGGCACACAACAGTTAACCACCAGGCCTGGCCAGAAGCCCAGCTCAGTCAGGCTTAGCCACAGACAGTTCCTTTTCTTTATCCCAGTTGCTGGGAGAACTCGGCTGGGTGACCAGAAAAAAACCTAAGACAAAAGTTTCCAGGAGAGGCAGAGCCTCATTTTCACAGTGGCCCTGGGCTCAGAGAACTTCCTTCTTCCACCCATTTCTCTCAGAGACTTCCAAGTTGAATCCCTGCATGCCAGCAAGAGGGAAGCTGGCATTCCTGGGAGAGCCTGGAGCAGGCACTGTGAAGGGCCCTGAGCTTATGGAAGACATCCCACTCTTGCTGAGGAGTCTGCAGTTACATACAGGAGCCAAAATGATGGGCAGCTGCCCAAGGACCCACTGAGGGTCAGATTTTTCAACAAGCCTCTGCAGTGGGCCAGGTGTGCAGACACAGGCTCCCAGGATTCATGCACCTGTGGGAGCCATGTTCCCCAAGGAACAGACAGACACTGAGCATGGAGAGGCTGAAGCTGAGGGTGAGTACCACACAGAATGCAATACGGGCCCACACAGGCCCCACAGCGCGGGGTTGAAAGGGGCAAGTCAAGGGCCTTCAGCAGAGGAAGAATTTGAGCTGAAGTGAGAATGGGAGAGAATGTTAGCTGCACAGATCTGGCTTAGTATGTGCAAAGGCTTTAAGGTAAACTATGGATAGACCCTTCCCCTCTTCATCTCTCCCTCTTTCTCCTCCTTCCTTTTCCCCTCCTCCCACCTTCTGCTCTTTGTTTGTTTGTTTGTTTTGTTTTTTGGCAGGATTGTCTATAATCCAGGATGGCCTCAATGTGCAATGCTGACCCAGGCTGGTGTTGAGCATGAACTTCTCCCGCATGCACATCCTGAATGCCCCCCCCTCCTTGATGTCTATGAGATAGTCTCATGCCCAGACTGGCCTTGAACTCACTGTGTGTGTAAGGGCAACTTTGAACTACTGATTCTCTTGCCTCTGACTCATGGGATTACAGGCATGCACTGCTGTGCTAGGCTAGCACCCCAAGTGCTTACAGGTGTGTGCCACTATGTCCTGCTTAGGCCAGGGGATCTGAACCACTGGGGATCCCACCTCCAGGGAGGCACTGACATCTGGAGAGGTTTTGATTGTGGACTTTGGTGGCAGTGAGGGGCTTTTGATATTTAGTGGATAGATCTGGGCAGAGATAGGGCAGGTCCTGCGCCTGCCAGAGTAGTTCAGTGTCATAAAGAAATTGAGCAAGCCAGGGTTAGGGGACATGAAGAAACCCAGGGTCTTGGATGAAGACTTAGAAACCTCCTGTAAATACCAGGAAGTGATAATCACGGACTCATGGCCACATGCTGTTGTGTGATACGGTCTTGTGTGAGTGAGTGTGCCCCTATCACAGCCTGGGTGTGGACTCATGCGCCATAATGGTCCTGGGAATCAAACTTAAGTGATCAGGCTTGGCTGCAAGCGCCATTACCCTGATCCATCTTGCCAGCCCTATATATTTTTGTTTTCTTTTCTTCTGTATTTCATTTTATGTGCATGATTGTTTTGCCTACATGTAGGTCTGTGTACCATGTGTGTGGAGTGCCCTGAGAAGCCAGAAGGGGGCACTGGATCCCTGAAACAGGAGAGACAGGAGGTTGGGAATTGAACCCAAGTCCTCTGGAAGAGCAGCCAGTTCTTAACCACCAAGTCATCTCTCCAGCCCCCTCAGATAGGGTGTCACTCTAACCCAGGGTGATAGGAGACTTAGACCTTCCTACTTTGCCCTCCAGAGTGCCGGAGCACAGGTGTGCACCCAAGCCATTTCTTTAACACATATCAATATTTCATGTAAATGACATATAATATAATATAATATAATATAATATAATATAATATAATATAATATAATATAGTGCATCTATCTATCTATCTATCTATCTATCTATCTATCTATCTATCTATCTATATCTGCCCATCAAGCACTCATGGTGCCTTGCAAATCTGTGTGTTCTCAGTGCCTAGCTGCCTGGCAAATGACTTGTGACCAGGTGTCTTGGGTTGGGGGGGATTGCTCTCAACAGACAGAAGATAGAGCAGACACCTGGACCAGGAGGCTTGATGCTTCCACACTCCAAGAAGACAATGGAGGAGCCAGCACAGGTGCCACATGAAAGGACACACAGGTTCATCATATGCCTGTCACTGGGATTGATAAGACTGAGAATTGGGGGAGAGTTAGATACTTCTCCCCTCCCTCTCCTCTTCGTTCTCCTTCCCTATTCCCCCCATCTGCATTGAGAGTCAGCCTAGGTTCTCAACCTTCCTAATGCTGTGATTCTTTAATACGGTTTCTCATGTTATGATGACCCTAAACCATAAAACCATTTATGTTGCTACATCATAGCTGTATTTTTGCTACTTTTATGTTTTCTGGTGCTCTTAGGTGATCCTGTGAAAGGGTCTTTCAACTGCCAAAGGGGTCATGACCCGTAGGTTCAGAACTACTGATCTAGGATTTTATGTGTACATAAAACCAGACCACATAAGACCATCCACACCAACAGTCACTGGAGAATTCTAGGCAGGGACTCCACCCCTCAGCAACACCCAGCCCCTCACTGGGGAATTCTAGGCAGAGGCTCCACCCCTGAGCCACTCCTCCAGCCTTCCAATCACTTCATGTTCATGGAAACTCTATGCCCAACAACTGTAAATGTCTGCAGGCATCCACACCTCTGGGGGGTGGCATAGTGCTTCTGGTGATACAGTTGTCACGCCTGAACACTGGCTTAGCGGGCAGAGAAGGTGGGACGGAGTGGAGTCTCTTCCCAATGCCAGGGTTACTCACGGCAGCTCCTAGTATCCCTCTGCACACCTGGGCTCAGGCTCAGTTTACACAGAGGCCCCAGGGGAGACAGGTGCTGGAAAGATTGTCTGGTCCCTGGGCTCTAGCACCCCGTGCTGCAGACCATAGTTGCTATGGCGATCACTGAACCTTCCATGAGAAGCTGGAAGAAGACTCTCGTGGCTGAAGAAGGCAACAACACCCAGTGACACTGGGGAAAGCCGCTGTCCCACGTTCTGTTGGTACTTACAGAAGGCATCTCGCCATCCCTGCAGGAGCACTGGTGGTGATTAAGTAACCAAGTGGAAATAGCGTGAGATACAGCCCCTCTTCCAGATGGCTGTGCCTGGCCAGCCTCCCGGGAGGGCTCCTCAGCCACTGCTGTGAAGTCCATGGGTCTCAGGCCCTTTCCTAGGGAGAATTATCAAGGCTGATGGGAAGCATGAGTATGGGACCACTTAGCCCTGGCCTTCGCCAGAGGCTTCTCCAGGGTCAGGCAGGCTCCCTTCCAGAACCCTCTGCCAGCAGGGCTGTGGTCATCTTCATCAGTTCTAACGTCTCAGGTAAGGGCTGGGCCAAGGGTTGAGACAAGTAGCCACTCTTGATGGTGGCTATGCCTCTTGGGGTCCTCCAAAAGATGTGTGTGAATGGACATGGGTTGGTGACTCACATAAGAATTATTGTCAAGGCTCCCCTGGACGCTCTTTTCTTTCTCCACTATATAGGGTAAACAGTTGGAGATAGTTGTGGTAAGTGGTCTGGTATCACAACCAGTGGTCATGGAAAATGTCCTTTGTGCTCTGCTCCTTTTGTTTGCCCCGTGCATGCTTTGCAGTTGCTGGAGGAAGAACCCAGCTTTCCTCACACACCTGACAGGTGCTGGGGTGAGAACTTGTCTGCAGACAAAGGGCCTCATGTCTGCCCTGCAAATGCTCTCCCATCGAGCCACACCCCTAGCCTCCTGCCCAAGCATTTCTTACAGAAAATATTTTTGATGTCTTTGTTCTGGGGGTTGAACTTAGTTTATGTTAGGCAAGCACTCTCTGCATGAGCCACCTCCTAGGCCCTCCCTTATTTTATACATGTATTTATTTTGGGGGAGGCACATGAGCTGTGCACAGAGACAGCTTTCGGGAGCCATTTCTTTCTCTCCCTTCACCAGGTGGGTCCAAGGAATTGAACTTGGTTCTTCAGGCTTGATGGCAAGCCCCTTCACACATTTTTCCATTTCCATAACCCTTGTGCTTTAAATTTTATGTTGGCTCCCCTTGACCAAGCGGTGTGCTCTGTGACAGTACCAGCTGCATACAGCTGTGTCCTGGCAATGTTTACTCTCTTCTTCACATTAAATAAAACTACACGTGAAAGTGCCTGATCTGCATTAGCTTTCAATCTCCACAGCATAAATACTTTTACACTCAGGTTCATACTGCAGGCTAATGTCACCAAGCATGCAGCACTCCTGCTGGCCAGGCAGCACTGTTATCCAGCTTGCAGCACTATGACCAAGCACACAGCATGGTCACCAAGCATGCAGCATGGTCACAGAGAAAACAGCACTCTCACTGAGCACACAGCACTCTCACTGAGCATAGAGTACCATAGGGCACCAACCTCTAATGGTCAGTTCTCTCAGCTTGATCTGGATGGGCTTCTCAGATGCAGTTCTGCTCACAACACTGAAAGATATGCGCTTTGAGCGTTTCAGTGTCCCCTTGTACAGTATATTCTACTGTTCAATTCTGATTTTATTCATTCTCCATTTAAAAATTTTTTTGAGATATGGTTACACTGTGGTTCTGGCTGTCCTGGAACTCTCTCTGTAGACCAGGCTGGCCTCAAACTCAGAGTCCCATCTGCCTCTACCTCCTGAGTGCTGGGATTAAAGAAGTGTGCCACTATGCTCAGCCCTGTTTAATTTTTCAGTAATGGCTGAGTGACAATAGCTGATGGCATTGTTGAAGTTTCATCATTGTTTGCCACTTGGATTGCATGTATTCTTTTGATCTGTTGGCTTATTAGTGCTGGGACAGTACCTGGAGACCCCACACATGCTCTTTATGTGCCTGACAAGTTGAGATGCTGGAGCCACATGCAAGCTCCTGATTTTAGGCTTTACTGTGTCTCTTGATGTGTCTCTCATGGTTAGCAAGGCTCTGGCCTGAATTTACTATCTGATAAACATTTTATGACCCTATCCAAACAGCCTATAAAGTTGATAAGATAGGTTGGGAAGGGGACACGTTTGTGGGAGACCGTTCCCAGGCTCCCATCCTGGACAGCTCCCAAGTCAGAATCTGAAAAGGTATTTTGAGTCACTTACTTTGAGTTTTGGTAGAGCCCTACCTCAGCCCCCAGCCCCCCTAAAATCCTCCAGTGAGGGGATGGGGGCATGGCGCAGGGGTGGAGCCCTGATTAACGTGTGTGAGGTCCTGGTTCTGTTTTAGCACCACAAGCACAAGCACCACCAACATAGCTGGTTCACTCTGCATTTCAGAGGGCCAGAGAATAATCCCTTAGTGTGGCAAGCAGAGCCTGGAGAGGATTGGCAGCGCCTGCACGTGACCTCCACCTTTACCTGGTTTGTGATCAGCTGAGAGTCCTGGCTGGTTTGGGTGGGTTCCCTTGTTTTGTTGCAATGCAAGGAGTTTCACCCCAGGGCCTCCCAAGTGCTGGGTCCAAGAGCGTATAATGAGCCAAATGTGACTAAATCATGTCTCCCTTTGGATAGGGAGGACAGAGTTTACATTACTGCATGGGGCTGGAAAACTTCGGAAAGGCCTCTGGCTTGCTGGGTCCAGGGGCCCTACTGCCCAGTGCTCCCTGCCCTAGAGGCCTACACTTTTTCTGGCTGCCCTAACTTAGCCTGGGCTCATCCTGCTGGGCTGGGACTGAGGGTATCCTGGGCTGTGACATGTGGAGCTCTCACAGGTGACTCCAGGTAATCCAGGGTACTTCGTTTCTTTGGTATGACTCCATGTGATTTTCCAAATTTCATTAATTTTATGTGTGTGATCTTTCTGGGAGAGCATATTATGTATGTGTCAGGACAGCAAGTGTGTGTGGAGCTCAGGACAACTTTTAAGAGTCATTTTGACCTGTGGGGCAAGTGGCAGGCTTGGCAGCAAGTTTCTCTACTGCTGAGCCATCTCGCTGGCCCCATCTTTCTTCCTCTTCTTCTTCCTCCTCCACCTCTTCCTCTTCTTTTTTTTTTTTTTGGTCTGGTACTTCTTGATATTCAGGAGGGCTCCAGTCTTGCAGAGGTCTGATGAAACATAGTAGTAGGCTGGACAGACTTCTGGAATCTTCTTGCTAACACCCTTCTGGCTGTGCCTCGCAGATATGGACGCAGAGAGAGAAGCCTTGGAGTGTATGGCCTACCCTGAGGTGCAGAGCTTCTGCCAGAAACACGGCTTGACATTCGAGGTAAGTCACATCACTGCTTGTCATCCATCTGGTGCTTTAGCTCTGGGTCTCATGTAGCTTTGTTTTGTTTTGTGAGACAAGGTCTCAGCTAAGGCTGGGACTTGAACTCATTGTGTCACTGAGGATGACCTACAATTCATGATCCTCCTACCTGCACCTTCCAAGTGATAGGAGTGTGCCAGCAAGCCCCATTTATGCGCTGATGTGGATGTAGCCTGGGATGAATGTGTGCTAGGCAGACAGTCTACTACCTGAGCTACAACTCCAAGAGGTCTAGCTGCCTCTGCCTCCTGAGTGCTAGGATTAAAGGCCACTGAGTGCTAGGATGTGTGCCACTCTGGGAGTCCCTACAAATGCCATGGTCGACAGAGAAATGATTTGCAACTGGCCTAACTGAGACCTAGTTAGCCAGGCAGGATCACACTTCCAGAGTCTGACCCCAGGCTGCTTATTCTAGACATGTTTAAGTACAGCGTAATGTTGAAAAAAAAAAATTCCTAGTAGCAATGATCTCAATCCCATGTGCACAATAAAGCTTAAGGTGTGGCTATGTTAAAGTACACATGACTGCTAGCATGAAGGCCAGTTTTAGAGCTTAAGGGTCTAGGATCTGGTGTGGCCTCTGACTGAGATAGCATAGAGAGCACTAGGCTATAAAGATGTGACATTTCCTGTAAGGATGTATTCTATTGACTGAGAAACAAAATTAAAGATACAGGTCTAGGGAGGGAGAGTCTGGAATGGACATTCTGGGGGATTTGGGTGAGGTCTGGCTCTATAGATCACAAAGGTCCTTATTATTAACACTAACCATCCAGCCTTCTGGGTGGAAAGCAGATACACCTTTTCTCCATTTAGGAGACAGCCCTGTGTGGTTAAGGTTCCTGGTTTCGCCAGTGCGTGTCTGTGAGCACTCATGCCCTGCACATGCCACCACACCTGCTGTCGTAGTCACGCTTTGAACAAGGTTTAGTTAGTGTTATTTTATGCGATTATGTTTGCATGCATGTCTGTGCATCACATGTGTGCAGTACCGTTGAAGGCCAAAGGAGGGCACCAGGTTCTCTGAAACTGGACTTACAGATGGTTGTGAGCTGCCACATGGGTGCTAGGGGAGAAAACCTGGGTCCTCAGCAAGAATAGCATTGTTTGAGCCCAGAGTTCAAGGCCAGCTTGGGATACATAGGGAGCTGCTGTCTCAAAATAAATAAGTAAAATAAAATAAACAGGACTTGAAGATGTAGCTCAGCAGTGGCCCACTGGCCTCACATGTGTGACAGCCGGGGCCTGGCCTCAGCACCACCAGAACCAAAGGGAGACAGAAAGGGGATCTTATACCCTGAGGAAGCATGCGAGCCTTCTGCTTGCTCCTTTAACACCATTGTCTTTGTGGTGCCCCAGGTAGATGGCAAAAGCTAGGGGGAGGGAGAGGAGAGCCTCTGGAGGCTGCGCCCTCACTGCCTCTCTTCTGCCCTGGTCCTCTCAGTCTCTGCTGTAGTTGCTCAGGGTTTGCATTTCTTTTTCTCTGTGCTACAGAATTTACAAGAGCAGGGGCAATTCTCTTTGTCTTCCTGTCATTCCAGCCTTCTCAGGGTCAGTGCTGCAGGCTGCAGTCCTGCCCAGCTCCCCTGCCCATCCCACCCCTTCTTCCTCCACCTCCCTGATAGCCTGTGGGCAGAGGTGGACCTGGTGCTTGGTTGCTAAGGAGAATTGGCTGGGTCACTTCCTGTTGTTCTCAATACCATCTCTCACAAAACTTGTTCCCAGCAAGCTTGGGCATGCCCTCCTTTTAAAAGGAACACCACCACTAAAAACTCCCAACTTCCTTCAAATTTTTAAAATTGTTGTTGAAATAGTGTCTCGTGAAATCCAGGCTGACACTGACCTCACTATGTAGCTACTATGGCCTTGAGCTCTGTACCTCCTGCCTCTACTTTCCAAGTGCAGGGATAAAAGGCATGGCCCCATCTCTACATGCTGGACAGCACTGGACATCAAACTTAGGCTCTGTGTGCCAGGCATTCTACCCATCCAGGCACAGCCTCAGCCCTACCAAGCTGTTTTTGTTTTTTTAAATAATGTTTATTTATTATTTATAGAGTATTCTGTCCAGATGAGGGCATCAGAACTAATTATAGATGGTTGTGAGCCACCATGTGGTTGCTGGGAATTGCACTCAGGACCTCGGGAAGAGCAGCCAGTGCTCTTAACCTCCGAGCCATCATTCCAGCCCCCTTTTGTCTTTATTTATGTGTATCTGTGTGCCATCTGTGCAGGTGTCTGTGGGAACCAAAAGAGGGCTTTGGAGTCCCAGAGCTGGGGTTCCAGGCTGTTGTGAAATACCTGGTGTGAGCTCTTGGGGCTCAACCCAGTTAGCAAGAGCTCCCAACTGCTAAGACAGCTCTCCAGCCCTCCAAACTTGTTTTGTTTATTCATTTGGTTTTGGTTTTGATTTTTTGACAGGATTTCTCTGTGTAGCCCTGCCCTAGAACTCGCTTTGTAGACCAGACAGGCCTTGAACCACAGAGATACACCTGCCTCTACCTCCTCAGTGCTGGGATTAAAGGCGTGCACCACCACTGCCAGGCTCCAAACTCATTTTTAAGCAAACCTTTATTTTCCTCTTCTTCTCTTCTCTTCTCTTCTCTTCTCTTCTCTTCTCTTCTCTTCTCTTCTCTTCTCTTCTCTTCTCTTCTCT